GGTCGGAGAGCGGGCCCTAAGGGGAACCCCCCAAATCCAGGCTACACGTGGGGGCACTGGCTCTCCTGGGGCGGGGCCCCAGGCTGTGCGGGGCAGGGTCTGGGGTTCGCAGCGATCTGCCCGCAGCAGGGTAATGCACAGAGGCCAGAGTCTGAGAAGCCTCTAGGATTGCAGCTGCCTTTAACGTTCATTCCCAATTAACTCGCACAGCTGCGGCTGCAAATGCTCAGAAGAACTCAGCCTCTCCCCTCAACTCCTGCGCGGCGCGGCCGGGGAAGGTGCCAGGCGACCTCGCTCCGAAACAAAGCTTGGAATCTTGCTCCAAACGAAAACCCGGCTCTAATCTCAACAGAGGTGCTGCTACGCTTTTAGAAAAACGGGAAAATCCCTTTTTCTGGCTTGGATATATTCCTTTATTTTGGTTTACAATACAATCCAGTCCTATAGGCCGCCAGCCAGTGCTCCGGAGATGTGTACCATACATTTACAAACACAATAACGTGAACTTTTTTAGCAGGGGGCTGGATTCGATGGCCTCCCGAGGTCTCTTCCAGCCCTAGGAATCTATGAGTTACAAAGCACCTTCCAGAGCAGCATCAGTTCTCCTTCCCGGCCTTGTCTAACCGCACATGGTGCAACCCGTCTAGCTGAAAATCCCAGCCCGCTTTGCTCCCAGACAAACTTGCCTTTGACAGCCTCTGCTGAGCTTTGCAACATACCCTGAAAGGTCAACCAATTGGGACTACCGGGAGGGAGGGAGGGAGGGATGAAAGGGGCCCCGGCAGAGCAGGTGCTCCTTTTAGACATGTCCAGCTCAAGGGCCTCTGCTCGCAGCAGCACATGGGCTGAGGGGCCTTTCAGGGAGGCAGCTTTATAGGCCAAAGCCAGCCCCTTAAACTCCCCCCAGAAACCAACCCACAGATCCTGGAGTGTAGGAAACACGAGCTGCCACTCGCGGCAGGGCTAACATGAGCAAGCAGGCACCCTATCCTGCACCAGCTCAGATGAAAATGCATCTCCATGGCTTGTTAGGTAACAGACACAAGCAAGCCCCCCCCCCCCCGGCCAACATGCCCCACGGACACACAAACTGCTCCCCCTGCCGTTGTGCACACTGCCCTCCAGAGCACACGCAGCTCTGGAATACAGGCGCTCTAGATTTACAGACGCCCCTTTCGATAACTCCACACACGTTCCATGCGTTCGTTCTAGCCCTCGGCGAGGCCAGGCCGGAATTCAGCGTAATGTCACCCTAGGCCTCGCTTACATTAGCAAAAATCCCCAAGTCATTCCCTGGGGCAGCCACAGCACTGATGCGGGTAGGGCTCCTACGCGCGTAGCGCTATCTGGTCTAGCTCAGCTATAGGACAGTAAAACATCTCTGCGGTTTATCCTCGTGCCGCCCACCGGGGGGCGACGCGCGGCTACGAACGAGAAGGCGGATTGCTGCAAATGGAGATGTCCCCTTGGAGATTTATGCTTCCCAGGACGTCCGCACCCTGGCCTGCGGGACGGCGTCTCTCTTGTGGATGTGTCGCACCATTTGGTACGTGTTAAAGGCCAGGGTGGCGCTTGGGCTGCCCTGGGGCTGCTGCTTCTCAACGTGCAGGTTTAGGAAGGAGACGTGGCTGTACAGACGCGAGGAAACCTGGTCGCTCGCCAGCATGCCGCACTGGCTGGGCAGCAGGGAGCAGGGGTGCGTCTCTGTAGCTGGCTCGCTCTCCGTGCTCCTAGGAGAAAAGGGACACAACCCCCCGTGACAGTTCAAACCGCTCTGACCTTCAAAGCCAGGGGCGGGAAGGCGGAAGGGAGCAGCTCCAAGCAGAGGGCTGTCTCCTCCCCATGCCAGGCTGTCAGGCGGCACAGTCTGAAAGGGGCACTGGCAACGTTTGCTGCTTCCCCTTCCTGGCAGCTTTTATCTTTGCTGGGGAGGAGCTGGTCAGCACCTTGTGGAGCTCTGCTTTCCCACCACATCCAGGGTCGGGCTCACCCACCAAGCACCCCTGCTGGGACCAGCGGGGAGGCGGAGATGCTATGGTTGCCAACAGCATTCGCTGGTGTCCGGCTTAATCTCCTGGAGGCCTCCGAGGCCAATCTGGGAGATTTTAAACCACTGAAAGTTCAGCAGTGCCCAGGCCCTGTGCTGCTCCTGGAAGTGGCTGGCCTGTTCCCATGCCTGCGGCCCCCAGGCAATGCCCCCACCCCAAGCACTGATTCTGCAGCTCCCATTGGCTGAGAAGTGCATATGGGCAAGGGTAGCATGCAGGGACTCCTGGCTCCATGCCCCTACGGGCCACAGGGACATGCTGGCCATTTTGGGAGCCACACAGAGCCAGGCCAGGCTTGGAGCCTGCCTTATCTCTACTGCACCGGCGAGCGGGAGCTGCCCAAGTTAAGCTGCCCAGTTGGGAGCCCATGCTCCTCTCCCCAACTCTCTGCTCCAGCCCTAAACCACTTCCTGAAGTCAGCCCCCTGACCCCCCCTCCTCCAACCCAACCCTGAGCCGTCTCCTGCACCCAAACTCCTCCCAGAACCTGCATCCCCTTCCTGCACCCCAACCTCAGCCCGGAGCCTCCCTCCCACATTCCGAACCCTCAGCCCCAGCCCAGAGCCTGCACTCCAACCCCTTGCCCCACCCCGGTGAAAGTGAGTGAGGGCAGGTGAGAATGAACAGAGGAGGGAGGGATGATGGAGTGAGGGAGGGCAGGTGAGAATGAACGGAGGAGGGAGGGGTGATGGAGTGAGGGAGGGGAGGGCAGGTGAGAATGAACGGAGGAGGGAGGGGTGATGGAGTGAGTAAGGGGAGGGCAGGGGCGGGGACCAGGGTTTGGGTGTTTGGGGTTTGTATGATTAGGCAGTTGGCAGCTTGAACCAGACCTGGGGCAGAGATACACTGGGGAGGGGCAGCAGGACGGGGGGGCATCTTGGGGAGCAAACAGAAGATGGAGGAACTTCTGGAGGGGATGAGGAGGGCAGGTTTTAGGGAAGGGAGGAGGAAATGGGCGGGGAGAAGCAGCCGGGAAGTCAGAGGGAGGGAGAGCGTGTGAGGGTTTCACGGGGGAGACGCAAGGAAGAGGACGGAGGGACAATTTGCAAAGCTGTCCCGGATGTGCCTTTGCTGCCCTTTTGCAAAAAGCTCCATTTCTGCGACGCGAAGGGCCAAGTCCCCCAGAGGACTTACAGGGCGGCGTTGAACTTCCTGCGTAAGAGGAAGTCAATGACATCAGGCTCCGTCTGAAACAGCCTCCGGAGGACGTCGTGCTGCACCTCGGGGGGTACCTGCAGAGCAGCAATGGGCAGAGACAACTCAGCCACGACTCCAAACACAGCAGGATTGAATTCCCCACCCAACGCCTTGTTCCGCAGACACAGCGCTGACTTCACGTGGGCACGATACTGCCCCCCTCTCTCGGGAGTCTGAGCAGAGCCGGGCCCAGGCTGCCCCATCAGTCTGGGAGAAAAGGTTGCAGGGATTCCTAGACAATGGGCCACGTGGACAGTAAAGGATTTACCGTTGTACCAGGAGGACCGAGCAGTGGGCCCAAATTAAGGCTACTGTTGTGCTTCCACGTTCCACCACGTCTCCCTGAAGCCATGGCTTGTGGGAGATTTTGAAAGGGGAGCCCATGTGGAACTGTGGGAGATGTCAAACTCCCACGAGGCCATAAACTCCCACCAGCCCTAATTTGCATGCCACGTCACCTGGCGAGATTTCTGCTGCAGCTTTGGACGTCAGCACCTGGCATCTGGCTCGCACGGTGCAGGCAGGCTGGGGCCGCTCCCGGCAAGCCAGGGGAAAATTAGGAAATGCGATCATGGCAAATGCCTCCCTCCCTACCGTGAACAAGGCGTCGTAGTTCTCAATCAGACGCTGGAGGACGAGGATGATGGACGCGCTGTCTTCCATGTCCACAGCCTGGGCGCTGGGGTCTTTCTCCAGAGGCTTCTCTCTTTGCAGGAGGTTGGGGCCAAAAATTGTAGCCAAATTTGAGACTGTCATTTTATTTCCGGGAATCTAACAACCAAGCACAGAAATTAGCATCAGACACCAGCCGGTGACTCAACTCGCTCCGGTGCTCGCCCTCACCCCGTGACCGAGGCTAAAGGAAGGCGGCTGGGGCCCCTTCCCAGGAGAAGAACAGGGCAACGGCTCTCTGACCTGGTGAACTCCAGCAGAACACTCACACCAGGCAGTGTCTTCAAGCTGCCTCCCTCCTACCTTCGATAATCCCTCAGTCCGACTGTTCTACCTGTCCCACCTGCTGCTGGGATCTTAGGTTCACCGCTCAACTCAAAGTAACAAATAACCTTTCCAGAGCCCATTCCACCCCCATGACACTTCCCAAACTATACAGCAGAACAACTTCCCCTGCCATATCTGGGGTGGAACATGACTGCTATTTAACAATATACAGAAGCCTGTGGAACTCCTTGCCAGATGATGCTGTGAAGGCCAGGACTTTAACAGGGTTCAAAAAAGAGCTAGATAAATTCCTGGAGGTTAGCTCCATCAATGGCTATTAGCCAGGATGGGTAGGAATGGTGGCCCTAGCCTCTGTTTGTCAGGAAAGGGGCGAGGGGGGAGGGATCAGGTGATAATCCTCTGTTCTGTTCACTCCCTCTCAGGCACCTGGTATTGGCCGTGGTCGGCAGACAGGACACTGGGCTAGATGGACCTTTGGTCTGACCCAGCTGAGCGTTCTTATGTTCTTAAACCAAACCAAAGGGCTCAGGGTGGGAAGCAGACAATAACATAACATATGCAGGATACCCAACTGTAGCGGCACAGGCAATTTAGAAAGGCTGCACGTAAACCATCTTGCTTACAGCCTCTGAATGGAAACTCAGCCAGGGCATCAGGGATACTTTCCCAGTTCTTGCATGAGATCTTTACAGCCCCACAGATGGGTACATTTCAGTTCTCTCTCGTCTGGCACAAAGCCCCTTGGCTCCAGCAGCTCCCTCCAAGGCCTGCTGACTAGTGGTCCTGGGCTCATGCAGCAGGAAGAGGGCTCCTGGCAAGCCACCAACACCAGCTGCTCCTCTGTGTAGGTTTCCCCGGAAATTCTGTACCCACCCTCCTTTGGCTTCCTCGATCGGACAGGCTCCCAGCACACAGTGGTACGGCTGGAGGCGCGCACAGGAGCTGGGATGGCCCAGGTGGTTTTCAGAAAGGGGGAGTCCACGTTTCCATGTTTAGCTTAACCGTTTAGAACAAGCCCTGAAACTTGTTTTCAACCCCCTTCGTCCCTGGGCAATGTGAACCGGACTCACGCAGAATGAGTGCAGAGTGCCGGGGGCAGAATAATTAACCAGAGGCCTTCGGTTCTGACGCAGGTTACCAGCCGTCAGAGTGTGCTGGAGACCAGAGGGGCAAGAGGCAGGCCACGGCCTGACATGGCAAGACTGTAGCTTGTACGCACTCCCATCACAACATAAAGCCACTCTGCTGAAACCACGGGGAATCCTTTGGGAACACGGAGCTCAGATACGGCAAGAACTGGGAAAAGCAGAGAGGCCCGGACGACTGGCAAGCCATTACCTCCTGTCCCTCTGGACCGGTGGAGTCCTGGGCATGTTGGGCCACCGTGTGGAGGAACTGCAGGAGCTGGTACAGGGTGTCACTGTTACAGGGTGGCAGGAGGTACACCAGCAGCTGCAGCACGGACAGCTGGGCCCCGCGTTCCAGGCCTAGCCAGAGAAAAACGAGCAATTTAGACCCGAGACTGACAAGACAGACAGGCGCATCCAGACGTGTTGCTCTCACGTGAGCCGATTTCCTAAGCAGCCAGACAAGCAGCGTGGCCACAGGAACCCACTCTTCCCGTGCACGGGAGTCCCACAACAGCCCACTGGTGGCTTTCATGCACTCTCCTGTCAGAGACAGGCATCCGGGCGGGATCCAGTCAATAACTCTCTTCCCCTGTGCCTAAGGAAGCAGCCTGGAGGCGAGAACGCTGCAAGTTCTATGGTCTGTCATTCCCAGCAGAACCATTCCTCCAACACAGATTGTTAAAGCACAGGAAGGGACAGTCGTAAGATGACTGAAAGCTCCTCTTGAGAGCATGGTCCCAGATTGTGAACTCCCCTTTCCTCACCACACCGTCTCAGGAGAGGTGTTTTATGTGTGTCAGAAACAAGCATCTTTAACAGGAGAAACAACCTGTCTGTCCCCTCCCTTCTCCGGGCACCTCACAGCCAAGTAGCTACAGTCTGATTGGTCAGTGGGCCAATCCCACTGCATTTTCATAGAGTCAAATTTCAGGCCTTGCAGCTAGGCACAAGGAATGCAGGTCACACCTACAGGTGGAGCGACTGTGTCCTGGAAAGGGGTGACAGTGAAAGAACAGACTCACTGCGAGCTCCAGTGCAACGCAGGGGCGAAGAGAGTGAGTGTGAATTGTAGCTGTGCAAACACAGGCATGTTAAATGGGAGTGGCTCTATTGGCAACACTGGTGAGGCCACTTCTGGATACAGAGTCCAGTTCTGGTGTCCACGTGTCACACTGACAGACTCCAATTGTCTGTGGGCGGAATCAAACCTGGGACCTCTGGAGCTTAGCGCATGAGCTGCCACCACCTGAGTGAAACACCAGCTCCTGGGACCTCTGGAGCTTAGCGCATGAGCTGTCACCACCTGAGCGAAACACCAGCTCTTAGCTACGGCTGTAGTGCAGACTCATTATTCCCTCTGTGAGTGGTCTCAGGCAAAGGGCTACAATTGCCTTTGTAAGGTATCCAGCCTAGTTCTGATACAAAACTTCTGTTAGTACAAATGTTTAATCATTTCTCAGATTTTCTGCCGGGGGGGGGGACGAGTGAGTTATGCGGGTGTTTCACGGGAGAGACAGACTTTGAAGGCCAAAGGAGGAGCTGGAGACTCGGGGACACCAAGACTCTATCAAATGGGCCCTTTCTAAAGGAGACTAGTGCAGGACAGACAGACGGACATGAAGTTAAAAGCAAGCTCCCCACACTGGGACAGACAGGGTAGCTCGAAACGACACCAGGAAGGGGGCACCATGCTATGGATACCGGATGACAAAGAAAACAACTTCCAGATAAACAGATGTTACAAGAACCGATTGTGACGGATGAGAGCTGATGGAGGATGGGAGAAAAGCCCTATAAAAGAGGGGCTGTCTGGCAGGAATCTTTGGGGTTTGCCTTGGCAAGCTCAGAGCTTCGGTTCGGACCAAAAGAAGCCTTGCTCCTCTCTCCCTCGCATTTAACTCGCCTGGCCAGTGAGCAACAGACTGGTAACGATAAACATCACAACAGTGTGTGAGTGTGTGTTACATTATCAATAAGTGTGGTGTTTTGCCTTATCCCCCCGTGTGATTCTTTCAAGTAGAACAAGCCAGCATGTTGGGCTCTATCCATCTCTGCACAGGTTTCTGCTCTGACTCAGACTGTTCTTTACTTTTTCGCTCCCTGGGTGAGGCCTTGTTTTGCCTTTAGCAGCTGCTCTGGTCAATTTTTCTCTTTCCTACGGTTTCCCACCTTTCATCCCTGCCAGCAACGGGATCCGCCTGCTCATGCCAGCCAGCCAGCGGTCCAGTGACTCACTCTCCTCTTTCTGCAGCCAGGCGTTTCAGATTTTTAACGACGGCTTGAATTTCACCGTTTATAGACTGTGACGCCAAGAAGGGTCTTTTCCCCCTTTGTCCCCAAGCTGTTTCCTCAGAGCTAAACTCCATCCCAGAGACAAATACCGCTTCCTGCTGCTTATTTCATCTGACATTTCAAAGCGCTGTTGTCTTTTCTTCCCCTCCTCTTTAGAAGAGGGAACATGATTCCTTCTGCTCTGCTTCTGATCTGGAGAGAAATCCTATTCTGTTCCAAAAAATCCAGTAGCCCTGTAGCACCTTAGAGACTAACAAAATAGATCTAATATATACAGTGTGTGGATGCAGGCCTGCCCGCATGCAGCCTGTCTGCCCGGAGGCGGTCACGTGGCTGCTGCTTTGTGTTGACAGGGCTGCAAGCGGCCCATGGGCCGTGGGTTGAGAACGAAGCTACTTACAGGCTGTGCGGACAAAGGCTGGATAGAGCTCCCTGGGAATCAGGGAATCAGGCATGTCCCGGAAAAACTCTTTGAGCAGGGCCGCCACGTCGTGGACACAATGGCTGTCATCCAAGAAAACATCAAATCCCCGGTCGAACGCTTCCCGCAGCTTGGAGAAGAAAAGGCAAGCGCTCAGCAGTCATTCCTCCATCCAGCTGCCTGGGGCCCTGCCCCCTATATCGCGTGTTTCTTTTCTCTCTTGCCTGCCCTTCCCCGCTGCACCCCACCAATGCTCCCCGTGCAGCCCCATCCACGCGATCCCCTCGCCTGACTCTTCGCTTGGGGCAGAGCAGGGATACATTACGACAGGGTCAGGGAAGCGTGGGCTGGCGCTGGCAGGAGCATTCCTGATCCTGCCCCAGGGCGGGACCGTGTTTCACTGCGCACACAAGCGAGAACAGATTGTGTTACAGCACGTGGGACTCGTAGCCCTGGATACAGCCACCCAGAAATCTGGTTCCTATTGCAGGCTGAGGAAAATGCCCACGGTCTGGAGACCTGAAAGAGAGAACAGGGTTGTAAACAGCTCGGTAGCCAACTGAATGTCTCTACTTCTTCACAGCCCGGCCTGGTCTGTGCCAGGTGGGCACTGGGTGCTTTGCCATTAGCTATAGGGGAAGGTGTTGCTCCATTCAAACTCCCAATGTCCGTAACCCCCTCCTTTGTCCCCCAGGGTAACCCCTACACGGTCTGGAGACCTGAAAGAGAGAACAGGGTTGTAAACAGCTCGGTAGCCAACTGAATGTCTCTACTTCTTCACAGCCCGGCCTGGTCTGTGCCAGGTGGGCACTGGGTGCTTTGCCATTAGCTATAGGGGAAGGTGTTGCTCCATTCAAACTCCCAATGTCCGTAACCCCCTCCTTTGTCCCCCAGGGTAACCCCTACAATGAATTAGCCATGCCCTGAATCTCCCTGTCAGCTGTGCGCTTGTGCGGCCACTCACGAGAGATTCAGTTGCCGCCCACATGATTAGCCCAGGGCCCAGCTAGGTTTGTTTCTCCTGGTGGTGCACATCCGCACATGCCTCAGTGCACATACATTTCTTCCACACACAAATAGGAAAGATGAGAGGGAACATTGCTCCTGGGTACCTGGCCTCCAGCCTCTGCTACTTCCTCTATTATCTGGATGCCGGGGGGCTCTGCCCAGACTCAACACTGAGTGTGGGAACAAACACTGGTTTGAGAATAGCTCTAGAGTTGGCTTCAGGTGCCAGGCCGAAGCCATGTCTCCACGACAGGTGCTAGAGTCGCAGAGCTACAGTGGATGGTTTCTACAGTGACAGAAGGGGGTTGCTATTAAGGGATGTAAAGGGTTAACCGGTCAACTGGTTACCCAGTAAGCATGCGCCTTACCAGCATGTTTACCAGGGTAACCAGTTAACAAGCAGGGGGCAGCTCCGGCCAGTCCCACCCGGGCCAGAGCAGCCCCCCGCCGTGGGATCACGGTGAACCCGTTCAACGTTCCGTTTAACCAGCTAACTTTGTAACTGGGGTTTTACATCCCCTGTCCTCTACGTCCGCACCCCCCCTCTGAGCAGCAGTGGCCAGGCCGACCTGGATGCACCTACCCCAGACACGAGGCCGGGCGTGCCTACGATGCTCCTCGGGGAGAGGTATAACGTTTTCACACCCCTTACCAACTCATGCCAAAAACTCTGGGGACGGAGGAACCTCAAACAGCGTCAGAGACTCGGGAAAGGCCTTGGCTTGTGGGGTGGATAGCCAGTCTGGCCATCGCAAAGGGAGATTACTGTGGGCCTTGGAGGGGGAGAGGGTCTGTCCCTCCACCCCTCTAGCAGGGGGCTGGAGAGAGGGGTTTGTGTAGGATGGAAATGAGATTCTTAAGACTAAGGGGGGATTCTCCCCCAGACTTGCCCCGATTCTCTGCAGGCCTGAGCAGCCCCCACCTGGAGAGACCCAGGGGAGGGCCAAGACACAGGACGAAGGCTCTTGGCTGCAAACAAGCGAACCAAAGAGCAGAGGGTCAGGACGGGTCTGCGTCCCAAGCTCCCGGGCGGTGGCCAGGGGTTCCAGGGGCCTGATGTGACACCGCGTCCTCACTCCCCAGGGATCCCAGTGGCGAGCGGGAAAAGCTACTTTACCGTGAGCCTCAATGTGCTGGCAACATCTGTCCACGACGCGGGGCACCTGCCTGTAGATGGGATTGAGGCTCAGGGCCTTGTTCCTCTCCCGGGTTCTCCTGGGGTTCAGCTCGTTGGGGTGGGACAGCTGCAGAGCAGCCAGCAGCCGGGAGGCGTTGTCACCCAGGTCAGTAATGGAGTCCACAGACACCGCCCCCTGCAATGAACATCAGAACCAGAGTGGGTCAGACCATGCCCCATCCACAGTGGCCAGTACCACGTGCCTCAGAGGGAGGGAACACAACAGGGAATCCTCATGCAATCCTTCCCATCACCCACCTCCATAGAAGCAGAGGCCAGGGACACCTTTCCCACCCATGCTGGCTACTAGCCATTGATGGACCGAACCTCCATGAATCTATCTAGCTCTTTTTTGAACCCTGTTAAAGTTCTAGCCTTCACCACATCCTCTGGCAAGGAGTTCCACAGGTTGAGCTGTGGGACACAGCCATGCCGTGGGAGATCCAGAGATCACTTTCCCACCTCACCCCTGTATTGGCATGGCCTACCTCACCCACCTACTGCCTCTCAGATCTGACCCAGAGATTGGCCCCCGACCAGGCTTTTCCTTCACCCACTTGTTCCATTTTCAAACCCTTTCATGTTTTAATGCAGCGAGGAGCAGCCCAGGCTGTGCGCGGGCCGCACGAGGGGCCCTCCTCCAGCTCCGTGGTCTTCACGATTGTCAGAACCACGCCGGTCTCCCGGGAGAGAGTGGTTTTGCTCACTGGCCCTAGAATGCGGGGAGGTGCCGACGGAACAGCAGCAGCCCGGGGATGGGCTGCAGAGGGAGCCCCCGGCTTTTCCAGTCAATGGCGGGCGCAATCAGCCCAGACCTCACATGCCCGTGCTTCGCACGCGGGTCGCCGTGGCTCTCTTCGCTGGAGGGGTTTCCTTACCTTGCGGGGAGGGGAGGGAAGAAACGAGGCGGAGAGATACCAGCGGAATCTGGCAACCCTGCATGCGGGCAACGGTAAAGAAAAGGTCTCGCGGGCCGTACGGAGAGCCCCAACGGGCGCCATTCAGCCCACGGGCCATACGCCGCCCCCACCGCCTGAGTGTCTCCCACGCAATAGGGGTTTGTGCCAGTTTCCTCCTCCTCCTCCCTCGACTGCATCCCGGGTTGTCTCCTCCCCTCCAGGCCTCCAGCTCACAAGCAAGCTGCTTCGGGCAGGGGCTGGCTCATATTCTGAGTTTAGGCCACTGCCCCCAGCACTTGGTGCTGCTGGAAGCCAGCTGGGCTCCCCAGCCCAAGGCTGAGAGAAGCCAGAGGACCGAACTCGCCCAGCGTGGCCCTGCAACAAAAGCCCTTGGGGAATAGCATTGGGGGTGGGAGGGCCAGTGTCCCCCTCCGGCCTGGCGTGACGGCAGCTTGCTCCCCGCACGGTTTCATTCTCGCTCGACCGGCCCAGCCGCAGTGTGGTCACGGTCGCTCCCCCCCCCAGCCAGTCCCGGCGGCTGCCTTTCATGGCTTCCTGCATTTGCTTGTGTGCCCGGTCATTGGCAATCACCTGGGAGAGCTGGATCCCGAAGGCCTGGGGGCCACGGTCTGTAACACACAGCACAGCTGGAAATGCCCAGGCAGGGCCCATGGCCTGCAGGCAGGCAGGAGACACGCAGAAAGGGGTAGTAACAACCCCTCCCTCCAGCCAGGGGCTGCAACCCCAATGGCTTCCTGCATTTGCTTGTGTGCCCGGTCATTGGCAATCACCTGGGAGAGCTGGATCCCGAAGGCCTGGGGGCCACGGTCTGTAACACACAGCACAGCTGGAAATGCCCAGGCAGGGCCCATGGCCTGCAGGCAGGCAGGAGACACGCAGAAAGGGGTAGTAACAACCCCTCCCTCCAGCCAGGGGCTGCAACCCCACAACACTACACTCGGCATCAGCAAAGGCAGAGTCAGGCGACCCGGGGCCCTTGGCGCACCCCCCCATGGGGTTCCCATTGTTGCCCCCTCATTCGGGGGGCAGGAGTCGGACTCAGAAAAGCCTCAGCACAAGGCGGCCAGAAAGTGACCCTGGGGGCTCCGGTCGGCGGCGCGGACCAGGCCATCACAAGTGCGGGCAGCAGCACGACGGGGCGGGAGGAGGCAGGAGAGCCCATGACTGGCCAGGCTTCCAAGAGAGCTCAGTGCATCAGCTGCCCGCTGGGGGCGGGGCAGATCGGAAAACCTGTCTCCCTTCGGGGGCTGAGCTCTCTTGGTAGTCTCAAGTCCCGCCTGGGTGCGTTTCTGGAACGGTGCCGCTCCGGGGGCACGCGGGAAACGTAACGGCCTCGGCTGCTCGGTCCCACGAGCCCATCCCATGGCCCCTCTGCCCTCCAAGCCAATGAAAGAGCAAAGCGCTTTGTTGCCGCGGCGCTGCGGTTACCGGTGGTGGCTCGCGCTCTCCCAGCCCGGAACGGGCGCTTCACTCACCTCTCTTCTCCTTGGAGGCGGCCTCCAGCTTCCTGCGGAAGGATTTGTTGCGTTTCGGGCCAGCTGGGGGGAGCAGAGAGAGAAACGATTGCGCGTCGTTAGGTCACCTTCAGGCAGCTGCCTAGCCAAACCCCCACACAGCCCTCCTCTCCCTGCCATCCGCTCTCCCATCAGTCCCCCTTGCCCCAGGTTTCTGTTCAAGCCTCCAGATGTAACGGGAGGAGGGGCTGCGTTTCCCCAGAACTTTCTCTGCAATAATTCCCATTCCCCCATCGCACCCTTCCCTGCGGCTTCTCCCCGGCGGCTCTGTTCGTTCTCCAGGCTCGCGTCCGAACGACGAGAACGCGCTGCTGTAGAGAGCTCCCCGCCACATCTGGGGTGACCAGGGGAAAGAGCAGCTGCAGACAAACCTCAGCTCCCATAAGCTTTCTACCCAGAAATCCTCCAAGCGCCACTCAGCACGTATCAGAACTGAACCCAAAGTCTGAGCTGTGTAGTGTGACCTGGTGGGAATTTTTGTCATATTTTTATGGGGGGGGAGGCCTATGTGTGCCTCAGTTTCCCTCCTTACTGTGCATTGCTACCCAGCGGGGGGAGGGAGGGGGGAGAGTTCAGTCTGCTCTTGGAGTAGGGCAGGAGACATAAGGGGGAATGGTGCCTTGCTGTTTGGGGTGCAACAAATGGGTTGGCA